TGAGGGCTGTGTTATCTGTCCAGTTGTTTATCTAATCCAGTGGAAGTGCTGGTGGGCAATCAGGTCAGAATGATAGGAAAAAAAGAAAGCTATTTTAATATGTGCATATGGGAGGAACTGATTAAAAGCCCACACCTGTTTTGGTTGGTTGTCATATGACAGGATATAAACCAAACATGAATATACAGACAGACAGACAGTAGAAACACCCACTTTTACTCTTTTTACAACACAATGGAGGCCCCACATGGCTTAGCAAACTCAGTTTGGATTTAAACAGGTATGGCAGTAAAGTGTCAAATTGGGGCAAGATACTACACAGTGGAGTTGGGATACTCTACTGATGTAGAATTGGCCACACAACCTAAAGCAATGGGCAGAATCCAGTTAGTTAGAGTTTGTCTATCCTTATAAAAATCCCACTGGATTTACTGGAACATCTGGTGGATTTGGGGTAGCACTCTGGCTTTAGGGTCCAATTTGGCCCAATCTGATGTCTAGCCCGGACACCAGCAACTTCACCCTTTCCTTGTACTCATCAGTGTAGGAAAAGATAATGGATCATCATTGTGCCACCACAGCTGATCCTAGCAGGCCAGATAATTCCTTCTGAGCTCTTGGCCCTTGCCAGCATCTCTGCTGACACCAGAATGGGGTGCCCATGAGACCTGGAAGAAATGAGCAATCCTTGTTTAGAGCAGCCACTGAGAGAGCTTTCCTTCAGGTTCTCACCAAATGTCCCAAGAGGGTACCAAGGGGTACTTGATTGCACTTTTCCTGCATGGTTAGATGCCACATGTGGTCGCTTCCAACTTTATTATTATATGATTCTATGAACAGGACTTAGGAAAGGACCTCCTGTAAAGATATTCAGTTTCAAATTGGGGTTGTGCATAGTAAATGTGCACTCTAAAATCTGTGGTCTTTGAATTGGGAACAATCCATGATCTATCTGTTGCCAGTGTCTACGGAATGTCCATGAAAGAAAGAAGTTGTAGTTGACAGGTGACAGTATGCCACCAGGATGTGGAGCAGTAAACTAGTAGCCAGCTGCATTAAATCATGACTGACCAATAGCTCATGAGTTCGAAGCCAGCCGAGGTTGGAGTAAGATCCCAACCATTAATAGTCTAGCTTGCTGTCCACCTATGCAGCTCGGAAGACAGTTGCATCTGTCAAGTAGGAAATTTAGGTACCACTTTATGCGGGGAGGCTAATTTAACTAATTTATGATGCCATAAAACCTTCCAGCAGCGTATGTAAGAATGAGGAAGTACTCCACCAAGAACTCAGACTCGGTGTCACAAGTGGACAGTGAAGCAGCAACTCCCCCTGTGACTGGAATTGAGCATAACATCATGAAACCAGAAAAAGTTGGAATGATAAATTGCCTATATATGTTGTATGTCTAAAATGGCATTGAATGCTTGTCATGTATATATGCATTGTAATTAACCTGAGTCCTTTGCGGGGTGAAAAGGGCGGAACATAAATACTGTAAATAAATAAATAAATTTGATATACTAGGGAAAAATGCCCATGGGAATTACTGCAAGGGGAGCTACACGTTAATTCTACTTCACATCTTTTATGCTGAATTCACATCTCTTATGCTTATGCTCAATGAAAGCACCAGATGTACCCCTGAATGCAGAACAAAAAGTATATTTGTATAGATGAACAATGTTGTTGTACTTTTATATGCAATGTATATTCAGATGCAACAGGGCAAGACAACCAACCTTATTTTTTATTGTTGTTGTTCATTCATTCAGTCGTCTCCGACTCTTCGTGACCTCATGGACCAGCCCACGCTGGAGCTCCCTGTCGGCTGTCACCACCCCCAGCTCCTTCAAGGTCAAGCCAGTCACTTCAAGGATGCCATCCATCCATCTTGCCCTTGGTCGGCCCCTCTTCCTTTTACCTTGTACTTTCCCCAGCATAATTGTCTTTTCTAGGCTTTGCTGTCTCCTCATGATGTGGCCAAAGTACTTCAACTTTGTCTCTAGTATCCTTCCCTCCAGTGAGCAGTCAGGCTTTATTTCCTGGAGGATGGACTGGTTGGATCTTCTCGCAGTCCAAGGCACTCTCAGAACTTTCCTCCAACACCACAGTTCAAAAGCATCTATCTTCCTTCGCTCAGCCTTCCCTAAGGTCCAGCTCTCACATCCGTAGGTTACTACAGGGAATACCATGGCTTTGACTAGGCAATGGATCTTTGTTGCCAGTGTGATTTCTCTGCTCTTTACTATTTACTATTTATTTTTTTATAATCGAACTAAATGTGGTTGTTCTGCATTGGATGTTAGTGTCACTCACCTTTGTAAGCAAATCTGAACATATGTGAACCTCCAACCTGAACCCAAATTTAAAGAACATAAGGAATGTTTTCAGCTGTGCCCAGAAATGACCTGGTAATCTAGCCAGCACATGAAACCATGCTAAACCAGACACAAAGGAAGCAAACAGTTTTATTGACATATCCTTTACACAATTCACAAGCCACACAAATTGTCACTATAAAGCATATGTAGAAAAATAGTAGAATCATATTGGCACTGATGACTGTTTGTTATTACTATTACTATGATTATTAATAATATCTTCATCATGATCATCTTCTTGTTACATAAGAGTCATCATCATGTTCATTCCCTATAATAAATAGTAAGCATTAGATTTCATAGTGCCATTCTGAGCTTTACATTCACAATCTCTGTTAAATAAGGGACCAGTTACGTCCACCCCTTGAGTGTGGTCAAAATTCAGAGGCCATGCCTTTTAAAAATCAAAAGCCCTTGATCTGAACCTGCTGTAATTATCCCATTGACAAGAATCCATAGACTGGTTTTCAGTAGTCAAGAAAGGCCATTTGTCAAACAGAACACTGTGGATTTAATACAAAATCAGAGAAAACACAAGGGAATGGGACAATACTATTCTCCAAGTAAGAGTTGATGCATTCTGCTATTTCTCATTCGGCCAGAAGTTGGCACAGTGCAATGATAAGAAATGTATTTATGCACTTTGCAATCCATAGATGGTTGTGGGCAGTGAGATGTTGCATAAAGTCAGTAATTTAATACTTTTCTAAGATCTACAGAGACACTCGCTGGAACACCTCAGCAAGCGAGAGTCCAAAAGTGGCAGGCTCAAACCCAGAACCTCAACCAATGGCTGATACCAAATGAGAGGCTATCCCCTGGGCACACAGAAAACTGGGCAACTTGGAAGGCGCTGAACAGACTGCGCTCTGGCACCACAAGATGCAGAGCCAAACTCAAGAAATGGGGCTACAAAGTGGAATCCATGACATGCGAGTGTGGAGAAGAGCAAACCACTGACCACCTGCTGCAATGCAACCTGAGCCCTGCGACATGCACAATGGAGGACCTTCTTGCAGCAACAACAGAAGCACTACAAGTGGCCAGATACTGGTCAAAGGACATTTAATCAACTACCAAACTCACAAATTTTGTATTTTGTCTGTTTGCTTTGTTCTGTTAGAAATGTAATATAATTGACTGGCTGCCCTGACATGACAAATAAATAGTAATTTAAGTCTAATAACTACACGAAGTGGTTCCAAAAACCAAGTGAGATTCTTTTACTTGCATCATAGAAAGTAAATTGCAACCATATGTCTAATATTGATGGGGTTTTTTATCATCTGGATTACATCCAGTGCATGTATATTATGCTGTGTGTCCACATTCAGTTCCTCTTGATTTTCACAGATCAGCTTGCTCATGTGCAGTGGCATTAAATGCTGGGTGGCTCGTCTTCTCTCCACGTTCACAATGTCACATACAAAGTTTTACATACATCACAGGTAAATCAGGTTGGGCTGAAAGAGAGTTGTCAGCAACATCCACTGAGGGCCCTATCACATTACGTTGTTGTAGTATGGTAGTCAAAGTGGAATAACAACATAATATAATGTGATTGGGCTTTGGGAGTTTTCCTAAAACTAAGAACATAGACATTATGTAAAAAACAAACCGATCCAGAAAAGGAATACCAGACTTTGACAAAGTTGTTAGACACTCAGTTATGTAAGTAATTTTGCATTCGAGCAAAACAGCCATTAACAGGATCTTTTAAATATGTATATTTTTATATATTTATATTTCCATAGAAAGAGACATCTTAAAAGCCTTTTCAAAGGAGGCCAAGTTGAATAATATCTTAGTAATGTCTAGACATTTCAGATGTTGTTCTGTACAACACAAATATTTTCTAAGGTTTCTGTACAGGTGTAACAGCATAAACATTATCTATAGTTTTATGTAAGGTAGGATTATACAATACTCAAGGTCTTTACAAAGATAGCATCCCAACTGAGATGAGGAGGAGGAGGAGAGAGAAAGAGAATGAATCTGATAGCTTCAAATCTTCAGCCAACCAGATTATTATTGCCCATAATTTTGACACAATTGTGGCAGCATTTATGAAAATGGAGTTTACAACAGATTACTTTTTAAAAAATCTACAGTTGATCCACAAGAGTCTTTCGCAGATTCTGGAACATATTCAAGAGCAGCATCTCCAATTCTCAGACACACCTATGATCACATTAGCTTCTCTAATAAGAGGAATTATCTAGTTCATCAGCAGCAGTCCTTCACTATTTCATCAACAGCAATCTATCACAAGTACTAGATCTGACTTCTAGCAACAATTAGCAATCTCAAATTGCTATATATATTTTTTGTAGGAAAAAAGAGGTCCAAGCATAAAGAATGCAAAAAATTATATCGGATGAGTTCACCACAGTGAGAGCAGGATGAAGTTCACATAGGCTGAGTCTGTCATTCTTTAGTAGAGGGATTTGAATATCCTTTGCTTTGGGAAATTGCTTGACATCTACTGGTACTCTCTACTGCCAGTCAAA